CACACTATTTTTCCCTTGTGATGTAAATTCAATTCTTTATTACTTTTTCTAATTCTAGAAGACATCCATGTGAAAGAAAAATCTTATTTCCAACCGCAATAAAACCGTTTCTTTGAAATGACAAAAAAAGGACAAAAGGCCCAAAATAATCCTATCTGCCTTTCCAAATCCAGCTCATGAATTAACACATCTTGCATAAATGCCTTAATTTCATTTGCATGCAGCATTTTCCAGAGGTCCACTTTTGTCTTCAATTAACACAACACCTTCCATTATGCAGCTGAGTGCATAAGCTACTGAGTCATCTGATGTAAGAAACGTCAACCTGAGTACTCGCAGGGATAAACGAGGATGATGGGAGTGCTGTTTCATAGGAATATCCATATTTATCCCTGCCTGCTCCCTTGCAAAGATCGTATATTTTACCTACAAATTAAAGTCACTGATATTTACAACTTCCTTGACACCTTTTGCTTTACAGGGATGCTTTGATTTCTTTAACCCACTCAAGCTCTGGCCTCCCAAACACAGTCTGTGTGTGGCGGAGTATAGCACCTCCCCACAGAAATAAACCAGCTACATTCACTGCTCAGTTGCAGCATTACTAGAAACTGAGCGCACAGCAGCTCCAGATTCCCCAAAATGACTCAGGATAAACGGGTGTGAGAATAATCCTACTGGTGGCAATAAACCTCATAAAAAGGAAGAGCCTTGTTTCTTGTACAGAATTAGCTGGCTCATTAACTGCAAGTGTACCAGCCCAATCGCATTATGAGGGTCAAACACAGAACAGCAGACAAATCTTCAGGCGTTAGTAGATTTGCAAGCATAGAGGTGCACATTATTCTTATAAACCAGCGTGTGCTGTCTTACCTGTCAGCACTAGAGCTAAATGTAGAAGTCTGCATACAATAAGGGGAGACACAAACCACCACGCTCACAGAGAGCAGAAACGGGAAAAGCTCATTCATTTCTAGTGTTGCCTATCATCTGAGTGAAATTAATTGGTCAGAGATCATGGTAGCCCACACATGACTCCAACAATTCAGTTGTGATCATCAACTTGTGCCTAATATGGCATCAAGCATCTTATAGACTCTTCAGTGCCGTCTGAATACAAAGGTGTGTGAAAAGTCATAGTGGATGGAGGTCACCACTGCTGCAGTCCTAAATAATAGGTAGAGCAAGGCCAGTGGTACACAGAATAAGGGACAATGGGTTGAAACTTCAACAGGAGAAGTTTAGATTGCATACAAGGAAGAAATTCTTTCCTGTTAGGGTGGTGAGGCACTGGAATGGGCTGCCCAGGGAGGCTGTGAATGCTCCATCCCTGGCAGTGTTCAAGGCCAGATTGGACAAAGACTTGGGTGACATGGTCTTATGTGAGGTGTCCCTGCCCATGGCAGGGGGGTTGGAACTGGATGACCTTAAGGTCCTTTCAAATCCTAACTATTCTATGATTCTATACAAAACACCATGGCCTTAGAACTGTTGCCTACAAAGCAGTTAAGGGTAGCAATATCACGCAATTTCAGCAGCTGGGGTGGTTGACAATAAAACTTAATTACCCTTAGATAACAGAACAACTGATGACAGGGCTTCAGATAAACAAAGGAATTGGAGGTTTCTTGGGAAACAAATGGGAAGTGGAAAAGATTATCACTGATTCAGTAATCACAGAATAACAGAATCATAGAAAGTTTTGGGTTGGAAAGGACCTTAAGACCATCCAGTTCCAACTCCTGCCATGGGCAGGGACGCCTCACACTAGACCACGTCACCCAAGGCTCTGTCCAACCTAGCCTTGAACACTGCCAGGGATGGAGCATTTACCACTTCTTTGGGTAACCTGTTTCAGTACCTCACAACCCTCACAGTAAAGAACTTCTTCCTTGTATTTAAACTGAGCTTCCCTTGTTTCAGTTTAAACCCATCACCCCTTGTAATACCCTTCCTGCATGGACTGTGCCCTGTACTGACAGGCAACTCTGTGTCTCAAAAAGCAGCTGAAAACAAAAAAGCCATGGGAAGACTTCTCATTTCCTCAGGAACCACTAAGAACATAAAGGTACCCATTCACATAACAGCTTCCTCTGACATCACTTAGAAAACGTAACCAAATCAGAGACTCTGCAGACCACATTCAACTGAACGCAGATATTAAAGCTGTTACATTCAGGTATTTGGGGACTATTCTCAAGATGTGCTAATTCTCCTTAGATGTCCCAACCGAGACACATAACTCAGTTTAGTTAAGGATCCAGCTCAATGATTTTCCAGCTCAGTTTGCATTAGCACATCTGGCAACAGACTCTCGGCTGTGCCATTCAGGCAGTCAGACTGGAGAAGGACACGTGTGGAAGGATGCAGACTGGCTTCCTTGATGGCATCAAGGTGTTTAACCAGCCTTCAGGTCAGAAAGGCAATGATGCTAAAACAGGCATCAAGGGTGATCTAACTTCACAGGAAAGAAAACAGGACCATAGAATCACAGAGTCAACTTGGTTGGAAAAGACCTTTAAGATCATCCAGCCCAACCATTCCCCAGCGCTGCCAAGGCTACAACTAAACCATGTCACTGAGGGCAGTGAGCTTGCTTGATGACTTAGTGAACCATTCTGGCCCCCAACCCCTAGCAATTCTGTCTGACCTGACTGCTGGTCATCCTCTCCTTCCTTCATCATTCCCAAGCAGATGCTGATCTAAAACAGGGTCCTATGGTTATAAAACCCAAAACTGTGTCACTAGCACCAATTCCACAGCCAGCTATTGATCTGTCTGACTAGCATCCTCATCCTCGCACCCTTTCCCCTCACCAGAGCCCCATGAGATGAAGATGCACAGGAATGCTTTTGCCAATAGCTCCTGTAAGATTGCATTGAAAAGACTGTTTCTGTTGATTCAAAGGTAACTTAGGCCACCAGCTTGTTTTGGTTTTGAGGGCTTGGACTCACTGATATAGTAATGCTTAGTGAAATACTCTTATCAAAGAGATGTCATTACTATGAACACACGCACAGAGTTTATTTGCAGAAGACAAAAGGTGGCAGAGATAGCCTCCAAATCTGGATTTTGCCTCATCTATTTCCTCCTTACATGACAGAAATTGCTCTCTACCCTCAGGAGCATTACACTGTGGTCATTAAGGAACTGGCCCACATGCTAGCAAAACTGCTTTTAGGTTTCTTTAAGCAGTATGGGTTATTCTGCCTGTGCCATGCATAGACCAGACAAGCTCTTCCTATTGATCCTCCCAGGCTCAGGTGAACCAGAGCGTGGTTTGCTCTTACAGCCCTGGGAGCATTTTGCTACGTGGTGCATCTCATATTCCTGGTTATGCATTTTCCCTGGACAACATTAAAAACCTAAAACAAGTGCCAAGAGAACTGTTCCTTGTCATCGTTGCTTTTGAATTTTCACTGTAGGGGTTTCGACTCCCTCTGCCTCCTGATTCTTAAATCTCACTTACTTCTGTGTAATATGAATGTCAACAGACAAACAGTGGGCCCTCCCAGCAATTGGTTGGGAACATACCTTGACTAGCTGCCAGGCTGAAAAGATACTCGTAAAGAAACTAATAATGTGCTGCAGTGGAACAGGAAGAAGGAAGTATGTGTCAGATATAAAAGCAACAGAAAACTTAAGCAGGCTGAAAGACAAAACATCTTGCTTAGTCTAACTGCTTCTCATAGGCAAGCTAATACTGGGGTCACTTCTATGAATGGGCAATATCTTCAAATAATAGATAGTGCCTTAAGAAAAGGAGTTAGGAGGATCTTGAAGCTAGCTCATGTATGTTGTCATGTCCCTCGAGGCATGAGCATCTGATGTGCTTTTAGGAGATGAATCAGGCTGCAAAGTTATCCATGTACAAAAATGAGCTTTTCAACATGCATAAATTAAAGCAAACAAACACCCTAAAAAGATGGGCTTAGATATAACCTCGATTTCTTTCTGCACCTGGGGACCAGAGTGGTGTTTCTCAGTGGAAGCAGCTAGCTCATTTCAGTGTGAAAGCAGGTATCTTAGGCTAATGGAAACTTGAAAAGGTAGGAGTTTGGCAAAGAATACCAGAGTGATTAAGACACAGAAGAGAAGAGTTTCTTCCTTTATGATCTACATATGGCTGCCTTAGGATCAGCTCCCAGGAGCTCCAGTAAGAACTGTAGCTGAAGCCTGCACATTAGAAATATCTCCACAAATCTTGCTTCTCTGGAGTTTACATCCCTCAGTGTGCCTTTAGAACTAGAGCTATTTGGAAGCAGACAGTTGCTTCTCAAGCACTGGACTGTGTTATCATCCATATACAAAATAGAAGATATAGAAGTCTAAGCCACATCAGGAGACAGCAGTGACAAAGGCAAGGGTCAAAGGGAATTTAAAAGGAGGTGATCTACTGAGTCTTACCTCTCTATTCACCCAAGTAATGGGCTGCTCTTAAGGATAATACTAGGGGTTATTCACATGTCTTTTCCCAAGTTTTCTTCACTACTGATAGCTGGAGAGCAAGAGGTCAACTAATGGGCAGAAACCTCAGACTATGCATGTGAGCACATCATGAAGTTAGGCTACCGTAAATTTAATCAGACACACCCTGCAATGTGGAAAGCAAATTCCATTTAGGAGAAGCAAGCTGCTCAATTTTCTCCCCCATCATCAATACTCATAACAATAATTGCTACTACTATTGCTTTTTAATTATAGTTCCAGATAGAAAGGAAAAATTGGATCTCTTTCCAGTTAATGTTATATCTTCTCCATCTTCCTTTTTACAGTCAAAAGGGAATGGAGTAATCTCCCAGTGAATTCTATTTTATGCTAAATATACCAGCTAACTATCCTTAAGATGAGAACCCCATTGCACAGGGCAGCTCATCAAATCAAAACATGACTGACTACAACCACAGCACTGACAAACACTGCTCATGAAGGACCACACAACATCACGTTGGAATGGCACAGGAGGGTAAGAAAGCTGATACGTTAAATGTGATACCTACCTATTGTGTCTCCTTGCTCATGCACCATGGAGGCCAGGTCCTTAATGATCTGGTTCACATCCAACATGTCACTCTGAAAAGACAGAAGGTCTGACATTAATGATGAATGGGTAAAGTCCAAGCATCAAAGGCAGGTTCCACAGTCAAGCTTTGCAAAGCAAAAACCCAAACCCACAGAATCATTGAATTGGGTAGGCTGGAAAAGACCCCTAAGATACCTTGCTGGATCTAAGTCACCCAGGTGACTCAAGCTTTCTGTAAGAAACAAGTAGAATGATCAGACTAAGTGTTCAAGTCCAGGTAGGATGGGGTTTTGAGCAACCAGGTCTAGTAGATGTCCCTGCCAATGGCAGAAGGTTGGAACTGAATGAGCTTGAAGGCCCCTTTCAACACAAACCATGTTACGATTCCATGGACATACTGTTCACCAGACAGTCTGTGGAACCTCCATCCTTGCATGTCTACAAAACCAAGTGGACATGGCCGTAAGCAACCTGTTTTCATTGACTGCTCTGAGCAAGGGTTTTGGACTAGAGTTCCTCCAGAGCTTTCTGCCAACTTCAGTGATTCTGTAATTTATGCAGCTTAACAAAATGCATTCTGCTTGTCTTTTTTTTCTGTGATGTTGCCTTACTGCTACTGCATTTAGCAGTACCTATGCTATGATGTTTATTACTGCTAGATTAATTCTTTTCATAAGTGGCAGTGTCATATGAAAGCAGCATACGCTCACATTTGCTCTTGTATCCTGTAAGTGTTCAGAAATGAAGCAAACAAATTCACTGGCAATTTGTTGTGGTTTAACTGAAAATTCAAGTGCTGAACCTAGTTACTTCTGTTTTACACTTGAAATCGTATAAATTAATCCCTTCATCAAAACAGGCCTTTCCTTATTGCCTTACCAATAAGGAGATTTCACATTCAGTCAGGTTTTGATCATATCTACATCAGGTCACAAACAGCATTTTATCATTTTATCAGATGCTGTGTTGAAAGATGGCCTTTTTCTGCTTAAGAAACCCCATTCTGGGATCAATGGCCTGCATCAACAATAACCTTTTCAGAAAGAAAAGGGTTTGCTCTTGTTGTTTTTATTGTTTTTCTCTCTTAGTCTTTCACAGTTCTGAAAATCAGCTATTTCACAGACTCATCATAGGATCACAGAATGGTCACACTAGACCATGTCGCCCAAGGCCCTGTCCAGCCAGCCTGGCCTCAAACACTGCCAGGGATGGAACACCTACCACTTCTCTGGGCAGCCCATTCCATGCATCCCCTGTACTGGGGAGCCCAGCACTGGATGCTTTCTAAACCATTGAAAACATTTCCTAAGAATCGGCTTCTCCTATGGCAAATTGCACAGGAATTCATTCATCTGCTTGGGTCCTAGTGCAACTCTAGCCCATTGCACCAAAAAGTCTGATTACGTCCACCTCACTTCTGTGGAGACCTCAGAGCAGCTTCCAGTATCTGAAGGGGGCTACAAGGATGCTGGAGAGGGACTCTTCATCAGGGACTGTAGTGACAGGACAAGGGGTGATGGGTTCAAACTGAAACAGGGGAAGCTCAGATTGGATATAGGGAAGAAACTCTTTACTGTGAGGGTGTTGAGGTGCTGGCACATGGTACCCAAAGAAGTTGTGAATGCTCCATCCCTGGCAGTGTTCAAGGCCAGAATGGACAGAGCCTTGGGCAACATGGTCTAGCGTGACATTTCCCTGCCCATGGCAGGGGGTTGGAACTGAACCATCTTAAGGTCCTTTTGCAACCCAAACCATTCTGTGATTCTATTCTATGAACTCAGCCTCCCTACTGGCAAACTTAGAAAATGGCGCAAGATGAATCCATTCCCTTCTCCTGAAGTTTGTTATGAGAATATAAGTGGCACAACATTTAATCATGTAATGCAAGAGAATCACATTAACTTGCAATGAAGCCTGGGAGCCCCATTGTGAATTCTAGAATACACCAAATTGCTGAATAACTGAAGAAGGAGGAGAAACAAAAGGTTCGGAAAGCTGCGAGAAATCATAATAAACCAAAGAACAAACCCCCTAACCAAAGCCTGGGTAATGCATCACAAAATTCACTTCATTCATTCACTTGTCAAGCATAATGAAGCTTTAATTATGTATGGGATTATTCCGAACTTGTAAATACTGCAGAATATTTTGTAAAAGCAATGAAGTTTAAGTAACTTGAGAATGCGCTTGAGCTCTGTGGTAGTAAATCACTGCCAGGAAATAAGAAAAAAATTTAGTTGTGATTTTTTTCAGTATGGGAGGATTTTGGGTTTTTTTTGGGTTTTTCTTCTGTAAAAAATCTGTAAATGAACAAAATTACAAAGTTTAGTACGGAAGAGCTGAGAATTAACTGCAATGTGTTGTTCTGCTCTCACAGAGCTCCTTAGTGAAAGATGATTAAGGAAAAATTAAACAAACAAATGATAATACTAAATAAGAGGCAGAAGGTTCATTTATCTCTCTTGGCTAAATTGCCCTTTCAGGCTGTCTGGTTTATTTTACTCTAAGGGTGGTGAGGCACTGGAACGGGTTGCTCCAAGCGGTGAATGCTCCATCCTTGGCAGTGTTCAAGGCCAAGTTGCCTTGGGTGAAATGGTCTAGAGTGAGGTGTCCCTGCCCTTGGCAGGGGGTTGGAACTGTACGATCTTAAGGTCCTTTCCAACCCAAACTGTCGCATGATTCTACAGCACTTTAAGTGAACACAGCAGTCATGGACATGTTTCTGCATGTACATTTGATTAGATAGAGGTTATTGCAATCTATGGAATTATACAAGCACAACACCACACCCCAGCATTCCCATTATAATAAAACAAGTGGGCAATACGGTTTAAGATCAACCAGATGATGTATTGACTCCTCAGAGGGTCCTCCTCAGCTAATTTAACCACAGCTATTTGAGCTGTCTTCCTCCTTATGCCAGATACCATGATAAGAAGGGGAAGAATGAGAAAAGATATTCAATGCTGTATACGAACAGTGCTGTTCCAGATTTGCCATTTATATTCAGGTACTTGGGACAGAACAGCCATCTGGTGCTGCACAGTATAGATCCTTTTCATAGCATTGTAACAACACTTAAAATCATCGCTTAGCAAATACACATTAGTTAAAGCCAGCCTGAGTTGCTGGGAAGGGAAAAATGCAACACCTGTATTTAAGGCAAAACAAACAGGGGTGAGTTGTAAAGCACAGAGCACAAAGCGATCTAACCCGAAGCAAGGAGTCTGTTGAATAATTTAACCTGGCAACGTGAAGTTTCAAAGTCCCCGACATATATAAGCAAAACACAATGAAAAATAGAAGAAAACCATCCGGAAATAAAGAACTTATATACAGGAATATACCCAGGAGCTAAGTTTCTCTTCCTTCTTGCCAGGTTACCTCTATCATGAGGTACCTCTGAACTTGCCAGCCATCAGTTTGTTAGCAAAATCACATTGCCTTTGGTTGCCCACACTAAGTGGGATTCACAGTGAAATACAGCTGTTCATCAATCTCTTTTACTCCACAGGAAACAGGAATACAACAGCCAGTCACATTCCCAAAATGCCATCTCCCTGCCAGCTAAATAGGCTGGGATTTAATCACCACCCAAGAAACCCAAGTTTTGTTGGTTCAAACCCAAGAAACCCCATCCTTTCCTGTCTGGCAGCAACTTACTCATTAGATTCTGCAGCAAAAGTGAGACATTTAAATTGTGTCAGTTAAATCCTTATTTAAATATGGAAAAAAATCCATTGCTCACAATAATAGACAGGATTTAATGCCATCCGTGCTGGAACAAAAAGAATTAAACTAGTCAACAGGAAAATCAGAGATGGCAGAAAGAAATGGCGGTAGCTAAAGACAACCAAAAAAAGGCAGAGATGTGCCAACAAACAAGTCATGCAGATGAGAGAACCAGGGAAATGAAAGAGTTTGGGACCCTAAAGACTTGGAGGATTAGCTCTCACTAAGGAAAGTTAGTTCAGAATAGAAAGAGAAAATACCAGGTTAAAACTGAGGACTATTTGAATCATTTAACCTTACTGAGAGAGTGAATAATACCACTGCAAAACCCTGAGATTTCTTGAAGAAAGCTGAAATTCCAGCTCTGGAAATTACTGGGCATACGATTTTGCAGATAATCTAGGAATTTCCATTTCCCATTTTTTTTACTTTAACAAGACCACCATTTCAGCACTTTAAAAATTAAACTGGGAGCAAGTCAGGGTGTAAAACCCCAGCATTCTTATCAAGACAGGAACAACCTAATCATAAACCCCAGCAGCCCATTTACCCATGGAATAAGCATCGCTGAGGTATTTGCCAAGATAGCAAGTAAGTAAACCTCCCCTCGCTTCCATCCTCATGCTTAGTGGAGGGAAGATTTAGCCATATTCTAACATGCCCCCACCCTAATGATATCCTAAGGACTCCCCTGTATTCCAGCCATGAGAACAGCATTAAATAAACCAGAGAGGGGAAACACGCCCTCCTCAAAAGGACACGGAACAAGCACGTGATGTTAATAATTTCTCTCTCACATATAGCCAGATCCCAGCATCCTTCATCAATGTCAGTTCTGGTCCTCAAGGGAAGAGTCACACTTATTTCTAACACTGTTTGCTTTAGGTTTGTGTGAAAAATGAGATCAGAAGTATCAGTGGTCTATGCTTCTGTGTGCATTCACAAACCATCCATCCTATTTTGTAAAGGACTACATATTAGCATTTAAATTAACTGCCGACTTCACAAGATACCGAATTCCACATATGAGGTCTCATTCTGCCCCACCATCCACTCTGCAACAAGCAACCAGAAGAGGTAGTACAACATCAAGTGAAGGAGATTGAGAGATGTAATATAATGCCCATGGCAGCGGATTGGAACTGGATAATCTTAAAGTCCTTCCCAACCCAAACCAGTCTGTGATTCCATGTGTGTATTTCTATACAGGGAGCCACTCCAAACTAAAGCAAAACAAAACCCTAGTACTCATTATCTTTGAGGGAAACAAAACCAAACCAAACCCAACCCCAACCTTCTGTAGTGTCTGGCACATTTT